CCTGCTTAATTTGCTGTGGAAAACACCCACAAAATGTATGATGCACCACACAGGAGCAAGATGGAACAGGAAAACTACTGAACAGAATTGTAACAGGGTAAATTAGGTTATACATGTGTTTTATCTCTGCACTTGCAGTGCTCTTCTGAACATGCAACATGCACCCATAAGGTCAGACAGAATTCCTTCATGCTTTTCATCCATAATTACTCATGTGAGCTCCCAGCAGTGAACTCAATTTAAACACTGATAAACCAAGTGTTGTTGTCATTTCTACACCCTTCCATTTCAAAAAGGGGTAAGTCAAAGCACTGACATTTTCTCTTAAAGTGAATTTGACTGATTGAGTCAACCAAGCGTTGCTTTCATGCTAAATATATGCACACACTTGTTGAATTTTTTTGCAAACTGGTAATTATGTTTGAAATTGATAGTCTAATCAGTAAGTGGTATTTTACTAAGTCTTGGCTTTGTGATTGGTATTCTAATTAGGTTAGTAATTGTTACTTGATTCATTCAATTTACAACCCAACTAATCATTTGTAAGTCATGTAAACTAAAAATTGAACTGGTCGATGACAATTTCATGGTGAAATTAATATATTTAAAACAAATAGTAGAGGAGATTCTACAAAAAGAATATGAAGGGAGGGAGCAAGCCTGTATTTGCATACATAAGGCCTTGCAAATGTGCAAAAGGTTATTTGCAACATAAAGAAATGCCTTCATTTATGAGCAGTGGAGATTGCCTATGTAACAAAAGGATGTTGCCACAGTTGCAGAGTCTTTTTGCTACACAGAAGATGGTGAATATGGTGGGTTAATTTTCCTCAAGTTTTACTGGCAGCTTTACAGGAAAACAGGAATGTAAACCATGAGGAATGTCTCTAGAGAAAGTGAATCTAATCTAGGTGTAAAAGAGTAGAAAGATAAAGCAATGAAACAATAATATAAAACCATTGAGGTTCAAATATGATTTGTGGTTATGGCTTTCTAATCTAGTACAGCTGCTATTTCATGAAATAATGAATGATAGATTACCAGATATTAAATTATTAAACAACAGAACAGCAGTACCAGTATGTGGAGAAATCAAATATAAAAAGAACTCCTAATTTATTCATGACTTGCTCAAGAAAAATTGATCTTTTAAGTATCATTGTTTCATATTCCTCATAGTTAAGACAAATATGTGTTTTTTTCTTAACAGCATCTAAATATGTGCATAGATACATAGTCGAAGAAAGCACAAATAAGGTTTTCTATACAGTATACTTTTGTTACCAGTGGAGTTCAGATGGCATGAAACTTTAATGTCAGCTCTTTACAACCTCTCAGTAAATGATTTTAAAGATAATTGAGATTATGCTTTCTTCATCTGACATCCCATAAGCCACCAGTAAGACGGAGAGAGTATATTGCAGCTGGAAGCCAAGCAGTTCATGAGAGAAAGAATTAGTGCAAATCTAAACGAATGGAAGTCTCAGCTTTGTTTACAGAAGAATGATGGAATCCCTTTGGCATATGGGAGCATATTTCTGGGTTTGCTCCCTCCTCTGACACAGGTAATTTTGCTGTGTAATTTTGTGCTTTACTGAAATGCATGCCAATAAACTAAAGCCAAAAGATTAAAATATGTTATATTATAGATTCTGAAATCTCTATCCACTTACCTAAATGTAACCTTGTAAACAAAATTCTAACAGAAGATCAAGATGATACATTTCTGTTCAACCATGCGGTACTAATACATAGTTCAGCAGAAATGTGTTTCATCAGGTAATTTTCTGCCTGCTGCATCTCTAATTTGGGTTTTACAGACAAAGCAATGAAAACGTTTGTAAGACTTGGGCTGAACACTTTCTTACTTGGGCTGAACAAATCCACTTACAGGGTTAAGAACTGAACATGCCCAACAGGGAAAGGAAGAGAAAAATATTCAGAATCTCACTTCTGAATTTCCCAACACCCTTATAGCAGGCAGGAATATATTTAGGGATCTTACTACAGGATTAATCGATTGTCCTGCCCCTGAGACTCTGTGGTACTGGAAGTTTCACAGGAATATGGAACTATTCACTCATAGATTACCCACACTTTCATTTGCCTGGGAGGATTAATTTCCACACAGTGGTCTTGATGTGCATGTACCTTAGTCTTCAGAAACAAAGGCATTTCTCGAATAGAAAATCAGAAAATAAATCAATTTAGGTTATATAAAATGCTACTGTTCTGTTAAACGAAGGGCTAGATTTCCACACAGGGACCACTGAAGGACATTAGCTTTGAATCAAAGTAGATTTTTAAATCTTAGAAGAGTTAGTGCACTTATGTTGTAAAACGATAAGTGGGTAATTTGTATAAATTACAATTACAGCCCCTGAAGGAGTCTGTTGTGCTCCAAATTTACCATGAATCTTAGAAGAGTTAGTGCACTTATGTTGTAAAACGATAAGTGGGTAATTTGTATAAATTACAATTACAATTACAGCCCTTGAAGGAGTCTGTTGTGCTCCAACTTTACCATGAAGCTATTGATTGCAGTCTAGGAATAGATGCCACTGGGTACTGTAGCTGCCTGCAACAGACTTTCAAGTTTTACTTTCTTTACACTGTTCTTTTCATTTACCTCAGCCCATTCTGTGGATCCCAATAATCCAAATTCTTCTGCATCCCAGCTAGCAAAAATAACGGTTCTCTTAGGTCTCCAACCTGCAATCACATAATTAAACTCAAAAGTTTAATTTAAAGTTAGAAGGGCTAGTGAAAGATCACCACAGGTAATTGAAATCACTTTACAAAATAGCACTTAATGATATAGCAAAAATCCTCTCTGAACTCCTTAGAGGAACGTATTATTGCAGAGGCATTTCTTCTTAATGCACTATTTTCATTCCACACAACTAAGAGCGTACTATTACACTGATGAGAGACATGAGGGAATAAATTCAGCCAACTAAGATGCAATGCTACATATGCACCTCTTCAATTACCTTGCATCTTTCATAATGAGAAATACAACTTTCTGTGCAGGTGAAAAGTTAAATCAACACAACTGCATACGGGAACATTCAACACAGTTCCTCAAAGCTGATGTTTTCCATATCCATTGTATTAAGTCTATAATAATTATGTTACCTTCCATCTTCATTTTACCAAAACTTCGTACAACCTCTTGCAGAACAGCTGCACCTGTAGTTGGATCAATACCTCCGAACACCCAAGCATCTCTATGACCTCCTAAAATAATATATCTGTCTGGAAACAAACACACAATATCAATCCTGTTTAGTCTGGAGAAGAGAAGATTGATAGGGGATCACATTAACGCATATAAATATCTCCAACGTGGGTTTCAGGATGATAGTGCCAGACTCTTTCCAGTGGTGCCCAGCGACAGGACGTGGAGCAATGGCCATAAACTAAAACACAACAAGTTTCACCTCAACATGAGGAAGAACATCTTTACATTGAAGGTGGCAGAGCCCTGGAACAGGCTGCCCAGGGGGGTCATGATGTCTCCTTCTCTGAAGACATTCAAAACCTGCCTGGACACGTTCCTGTGTGACCTGCCCTGGGTGGCCCTGCGTTGGCAGGTGGGTTGGACTGGATGATCTCTAGTGGTCCCTTCCAACCCTAATGATTCTGTGATCCTTAATTAAAAATACATTTAGGTTACCTGTATTTTCTTAAATTGCATCCCTACTTATCAAACAAAATAAGATGACTGGTACCAGTGCTACAAATTTACTTTTAAGGTAATCCGCAAACATTCACATACTCAACTGAAGTATATAAATGAAGACAAGAAATATTTTATACATACCTTTCAGTTTAAAAGTCTTCCATATATATGACCTGCTACTAGGTATCAACAAGATGTTGAGGTCCCAAATCATCACTAGTTTTCTGTACTTTGCATTGTGTTATTTTTTGCAAAGGCAAAATGTGTGACTGTTGCAAGGGGAAACCTACTGTAAAATGACAGGCAGTGTAAAAAAATTCTCTGATATCTATCATTCTAGCATTCCCATTCAAATATATCCTCATGAATGCCAATGGGAAACAGTGTGATGGGAGGACAACGATTAAGGGGTTCTCAGACTCCATATTATATGGCTATTTATAACACTTCAAGTTTCTTGCAACATGAGAATGACTTCACCTAACACAAAATAAAGAAGCAGTTAAAATCACCAAGCACCCGATACTCACCTGGCTCCACAGCTCCTCTGAGGACACCAACGACATTGTAAATTCGTGTTATTTTATTGTCTGTATGAACATGCATCCTGACTTTTCTGAAATGAAAAGCAGTATGGAGTAACCATTTCTGACTGAGAAGGCAATAAAAAGTCAACATTAATAACATGTAAGCCAGAAAGCTTCTGCTTCTGTTTTGCTTTGCGTGTTTAGCACTAATATAACCTGTCATGCTGGATCCATGCTGCACCATGCCCCAGTTTTTACTGCAGGTTAATCTACTGACAGATGCCTTAGAAACTACCCTATGAAGTGGGCCAACCTATAAACTTTCAAACATTTACAGTATTGACTGAACTGTTATTTAGAGGAATCAACTGGACAATTGTGTATTAGAGGAGTAAGCTGAAAAGCACATAAAGTGATTAAAAATACATATACATTTTTACTAAAATTATAATTGTGGATGTATATATTTTTATAAAGAATCACTTTGGTTTTCTAGCACAATTCTGTGTAATAAGATAGAACCCTGAGAGAAAGTAATTGGAAATATTAATCCAGAAATAAATTGAAATATCTATTTAGAACAGCAGATTTAAGTGAAATTTGTCAATCCTCCCTCCCTTCCTCCCAGTACAATATACTTGTGAAATTTTATAAAAAGGAAGGAAATTTAGGTATTAGGAGAGCTTAAAATAATATATTATTCAGCCCCTCTTAACCTTAGAAGAAACAAAGCATCAAAACAATGCTTGTTTTATGTCTGGCGAAACCTCAAGAGTCTTAAATTTGAAGTTATCTTTTCAGCAGCAAATCTGCATAGCTGTCAAAATCCAAACCTACTTTAGGACAGCTACTGGATCTTTGCCCAGAAAATAACTGACACCAGTGCCTTGAGCATGCATATACTTGCACCCTTCCCATGTGCAACCGACTTTCTACCTAGGCTCAAAAGGTTCATTTTGTTATGGAGATTCCCTGAGAAAGAAGCGTTTGTAGGATTAGCCCGTATTTACAAAAACTGTTACCCTATCAAGTAGGAAGATGTTAAAAAGAACATTCAAAAATATTTCACATGGGTCTGTTTTGTGGATGAGTCATATTGTTTCTTTTCTCACTGTTGCTCTTCAAGCCGTTCCAAACAGCACTTTATGTCAAATATGATTTCTTATGCTTTCTTATTTATTTATTCCTACTTTATCCATTTTCATTTGGTGTTAAAGCAGAGCAGAAAAGAATAATGAAGTCTTTATAAAATCATATATTGAGGCATACTCTAGTTTTACAGGAGGTGTAGCAGTGATAATGATACACCATATTTACACACCATTCATTGTGGTCCGCTACAAGTCCTCATAGAATATTATCTCATGTAAATTAGAAGTATTTTACATGAAAAATTGATAGGAAAGACTAAGCCAGCAACCTGCTCTAGTGGAAGATGTCCCTGTCCATGGCAGAGGGGTTGGAACTGGATAATCTTTAAGGTCCCTTCCAACCCAAGCCATTCTGTGATTCTACGAAAAGTGATCTTTAGCTTTATCTATTACAGCTTATCAGTTATAAACAAGGAAGAATGCTATGACAGACCCTGGCACCTGCTCAAATCCTCCTTCATCAAATGCAATTGTTATGTGGGTTAGTCCACTGGAGAGTGACTCCGTTAATGCTGGAGACCTAGACAGTTGCATTTCTGTGTTAGAGCTGAAAAAATTTAAACTGCAAATATTCTATTGCTAATCCAAAGGCCAGTTCCTCTCAGACAAAATAGTCAGATATATGTACTTTGGGCTCTTCTGTCTTGATATTGTTCAGGTCTCTCAATCATGGAGCCTACCAGCCTTGGGGAACAGTTGATGGACTCCCAAATCGTTGCCACACTTCACAGCTCTAATTTCACAGAAACCCTGCGAGACTTGCAGTGGACAAGGGACCATACATAGATTACTGAATTTGTCAGTCCTTCCACATTAAACTGGTACAAGCTGTCTGTCCTACTGTCCCTTGGCTGTCAGAAACAGAGAAGAAAAACCCAACTTGAAGCAAGAAGGATGTTTAGGGTTAATGCAACAGCATTGAAAAAAAAGTTTACTCACTGCTATATAGCCATTTTGAAAAGGACCAGTGAAACAATGTCTGTACCTTTAAAGTAAGGATTAAAATTGGAATGACTGGGCTGGACCTATACCCTCTGAATTTCTTTATCCATTGACACTGGGGATACTGAGCAAAACCATAGTTTTGATAATTTATTTTCAAATTCTAATAATTATCACCAAGTCTTTCCCACTCAGAAGGATGGAAATCTTTCCAGGATATCTTTCTGGAGATATTCCAGTCTCACTCTTTTTCTCATTAAGATTTCTTTTGCAATACTTTATAAATAGGCAAGTGTTAAACCAGACCTTGTAGAAGAGTTGCCTGCAAATCCTGGCCCTATATTATAAGACACATTGAGACTTCCCTTCCAGCTGCTGTCTGGAGCTGCAGGTCCTCCCATTGCACTGTTAAGTGAAAACCAAGAGAAATATAGTTGACCAGGAGGCTAAAACTTTAAATGTCCTTAATGATTACTGTACCTAAACCAAGGTATGTTTACAAAATTCTCAAAAACATTATGCCAGAAACAGATTGCTTTGAACTTCCCACATTTTCTGAAGCACACATTACTACAAAACAGCAAGAAATACAGTAACAGCATAGATTTTACTGTCTTAGTATAAAGAGAAATAAAAATTGCTTGCATTTGTGAACACTGACTTCTTCTGGTGAAGAAAATTGATGTATACTCACCGTAATAATACTTCTGCATCGTGATATCCAATGGGATGAACTGGGATTTTGGGGATCCCTACACCTTCACTGACTTCATACCTGAAAGTGTACTCTGAGTAACCAGAAGAAAATGTTAAGTTTACAGTGTTCTTAGCAACTTTCACCATACTAGAAGTACTTTTGAACAGTGGAACCACACGGTAGCCACAAGCATACATCAATTTTGGTTTTTTAATTCCTACATAATTTCTTAGGTATTGCTTCTAGGAACCAACACGTAACGATGAAACCACAAAACCAATAGGGCATCTGCACAACAGAACTCCCACATTTGATGCAAGGTTAGATTTGCTGTCCATCTGTATTATAACGTATTATTAGAGGAGGGCCATGAGGATGATCACGGGCTGGAGCACCTCCCATACAAAGACAAGCTGAGGCAGTTGGGGCTGTTCAGCCTGGAGAAAAGAAGCTGTGTGGAGACCTCAGAGCAGCTTCCAGTGTCCACAAGGACAAAACAAGCACACAGTGCCAAGTTTTGAAAGATTCCAGGCTATTGTTATTTTTACCATAGAAATTTTACTCCCTGTAAGGAAGAATTCAAACTGTTTTCCTGCTTGGAATTTAGGATCAGCAAGGAAACATACCTCCAAGCAAAGCTATTACTCTTCTTTGATGGTAGACTATAATATAGTTTAAACTAGTCCTCTTGAGAAACACAAATATTTAAAAATGGCTATAAATTCTCAGCCATTTTCTGCTACATCAGTCTGTAAACCCACATGTCCTGCTTTTCTAAAAGTTAGAAGGCTTGGATCATACAAAGAGATTTCTTTAAAACTTACTTCCCCTGCAAAAGCAACCAGTTGAAATAACATATAGTTATGAAAATCAATGTATTTCTTGTGCCACAGTAACTGTCAGCACCACTTTCTAAAGTGGTGGCCCAGGGTACAGATCTTCTACTCACCTTTTGCAGGATAACCTGGTGTTAAAGGGTCCCCAGCTCCATTCAAGTTTAACACATTCCCACGCTGGGCTCCTGCACCTGGAAGGTTCCAGCCATCTGGATAAGCATCGACTCCTGGGGCACAGTAGTCAGCAGGGTCTGAATAAAGTATGATCCCTTGGGCTCCTGCTAATATGGCATTTTTAACCTGTGAAATTATTTGCTTTTAATGCAGTAATAAATCTGAATGTGCCAATTTATTCCAGGGGGATGTAGCTTTACAAGTTGTATACATGGAAGAGTGAAAATGAGCACAGACTCAGCAGAAGAGCAAAGCACAGTGAAGCACAGTAGTTAATTATTTGTGTCACATCTTTAGTCACAGCTCCAGGCTATGAAATTAAGCACAGGATGCAAACTGAGGCAAAAACTTGACCACTATCCCCACTGTCCCACTGTCAGCAATCATGTCAGAGTTGTTGTCTAAAGATGGAAGAATTAGTTATTTAATATCCGTGCATCTGACTCCTTTTCAAACACTTGCTTCTTCAAAATACTGCAGTTCTATAGATGAAAAGTATTCAAAGCCTTGACTCTGTACACTACTAAGTTCCCTTAACTAATCTCTTGCAAGAACTGCCTAAGGAGTTTGCAGTCATCTCAGTCTCAGAAGAGTAATACATTCAGTTGCTTTTATTGTTTGGGAAGTTCTTCTTAGAATGCAGTCATGATGGACACATTGCAGGCTTCCTCCTGCTTCTATGTTCCAGCTTAAAGCCCTCATTAACTCCCGCTGGCTCTACCACGAGCAGTGTCTGACCCAGAGAGGGAAAAATAAAGCACAACCCTTACTTTGTTCCCTCTGAAGATCTTCCCATATCTGGCAATGACAATCTTTCCTGTACAGTTAATTCCCATTTCACGCTCCAGCTTAAAAAAATCTTCAGTACGACCATAATTCACATACACCAGATCTGCCTGCACAGAGAAGAGAAGTGGTTTCATGGCAACTGGTCAGTAAAAAAACCCTCAAAATATCTGTTTTCAAGAACACACACTTTTATTCTCTATGTGTGATATAGTGTTTTGGCTTTTTTTGCATTTCTACAAATGAGATTCAATGCCCATAAAAAACAATAGCAAAAGATATCCATGATCTGTAGGAAACCTTGGCTCAGACTCCTCACTCTTCTGTATTATCCTGCACTTTACAACAGCTCTATATATTGAGGTTGGAAACTAAACCAATGTACTTTGTCAAACTGACAAACTTCCGTGGCCATGAAGAAATAGTGGTATTCTTTGCAGACACAAGCACTATTACATGATTTCATTCATTTATGCAATGTTGTCCCTGACATGTTCCTCCATAATGAATTGTCTGATTAAGTGAGGGACTTTTGTAGCCTTTGGAGACATTCATTTAATCCAAAATATCTTCCAAATGGATTTATATACTGCTATTTCTACATATGACTTATGCAAGTCCTCTCCGTATCATTGAGTAATGTGGAGTAATCTGAGATGTATCCAACATTTTCTATAAAGATAAAAGCTTTTCATTTCTGTGATTCAGAGTTCTAGCAATTTGAGAAAACTTTTTTTGTAATAGGATACTTCTAACCTTAGCATAATATGTGGCCTACCTGTCCTTAAGTCTTCTCTTACACTAATGGTTAATTAAAGCTACTACAACAAACATCTTGAGAAGCTGGAGCAATCTATCCCAGCAAGTGTTTCACAAAATACTACTTCAGCTGATAATATTCTTACTTAGCTTTTTTTCTTACCTCTGGCACTCCTTGTGCTGAAAAGGCATTATATGGTGGTAGTATATCAGTAACGTTTTCATACCCGTGTGGAGGTGGTTCAAACAACGATGTATTGAAAATCTGCCAATAAAGAACAGAAGTCTTTGGTCAAACACTCTACCTCCAGGCACAAGTTTGTACACTAAGCTTGGTTATTGCAAATGACATGCTAGTTTCCATAAATTGTTCACAAAAAATACAATTCCAACTAGAACACGTTAAGTTCAAACAACAAAAACAGCTAAGGATGTATAGCTGAATTTTTACAACAGAATGCAGATATGAACACAGGGGGATAGATCACTTGTCAGCAAATGCTCATCAGTCACTGCCTGAACCTAACTGAGGAGGCAGCTGAAAATTGCCAAGAGGTGGTGACAATACAGTGACACTTATTTCATCCATGCGTTCACAGTTATTTTTTGTGATTACTCTCATCTGTGTTATTCTTCACCTCTTTGCTAGTCATGCTTCAGTCAAATGTGCTCCCTTTTATCACTATTTATTGTAACACTCCTTGCTGCCTCAAGGTTCATGCCCATTCTTTGTCATTTTGAGAGATTATAGCTGAGACACCGTTATTCTGGAAGAACTTCTCTATTCTTTCACCTCTAAGTTCACATCAAACCCAAGCATATATTCCTTAGTTGAAGCCAGGGCTCTTCATCCCTGCCTACGTACTATGATGCTTCTCTAGCAGTCCCATCTCCTCTCCTTGCTCAGGATCCTTGTCAGGTTTTACATCTACTTTATTCCCCTGGGTGTACGAAATGGAGAAGGTGACTATAGACTGACTGTTCGTTATTGCTTCCAGCATGTACTTAGGAGACACCATAGGAAGACAGAAGGATCAGGTTCAGAGCAAATGGAACAAGGCAGTACTTCGTACAATGGATAGTATCTTCATAATATTGTAATAAAATACATCTTTTGTAATAAAAAAAAGTAATATAAAAATATAAATGAAAAAATACTAAAAAAATGTATTTTGTCTAGAAAATGTAATATTCCTTACCTCAGCATGCAGTGGGAGCAAAAATTGTTCAAGTAGGGTTTGGATAGGTACTTAGAAGAGAGGTCTACAAGGGACACTAACTAGCTAAATACGTGGAAAAGAGGTCTAATGAGGATTTGTAAAGAGACTAATTGCATCAGGCTCATAGAACCCTTGAGCTGAAAACAGCCAGATGCTGGAAGAATTGCATGCCTTAAATACATTTCCTTGTTCTTAAACTTCCCTGTGCATCCACTTAAGGCTGTATATAGAAACAGGATGTTGGCCTAGATATATCCTCAAGCTGAACCGGTGTGGCCATTCTTACATGTTATGGTTTATTGGTGTCAATTGAAGCCTCACCACACATCCATTCTCTAATGTATGAAGCACTGGGACCTCAGCCACTCTGTTGTCCTGCTGCACAACCTGGAAAACCGTTTCTAAATAGGAGTTCCCCTCGCACCGGAGTTTTTATCATATTATAAAGCAAATGCTGGGATGAGTGCATGGGAAAAGAGAGGACACTGCTTCTTTAAAGAAGTCTTACATAAATGTAATCATCAAAAAGATCACCTCATTCCCTTGATCGTCAATTACTGAAATGTAGTTTGGCTGCTTTTCATTTGGGTACGAAAGAAGCACATCATAATGAACGAGTTCTGCTGAATCCAGGCCAAATTCCTTCCACTGGCCTTGAATTTGTTTGGCAAGAAGAAGATTCTGTTCAGTTCCTGCGAGGTGAGGCAACTTGGTAAAGGAGCTAGAACAAAACAGAAAATTGCTAGTAAGCAGCAAATGCAGAGAGGCACAATAGTGAACTGGCATCAGCGTGCATAAAGCCTGTCTTCAAGCCACATGAATGGAGAGTAAGGTCTCCTAGTTGAAGTCGGAGCTGTATGTATAACATGCAGTAACAAGTTTAAATTGAAAATCATTATGTCAAATTATCTTCACAGATTTGTTCTTTTTTCTTCCCAATGAAAAGCCTAAATAATAAAAGCCTTCTTAACAACATTTACATCCAGATCAGATATAACACATAATGGTGATAAATAGTCAGAAACAATACTCAGCCCCTCTAGGCTGCCCTGCAGAAATCTGTCTGCATTTTGTTTCGCCCACTGAACATGAGTTGTGATGAATGCAGATCAGTCAGCCAGGTACTAGACATCAGCTTTGAATTTCCAGAAGGCTACTTGTTAATGGCTGCCCCAGGGATGTCAGTTACCATCAATTACCATCAATTAGTGGTACAGAATACCATGATTAGTACCACCTCAACCTGTCTATTTTCAACCTACGGAATAGCTTGTTCTTCAATATGCAATTCCTCAGCTTCCAAACGAGATTGTTGAAGGACACAATGTCCAAAGCCCTATTACAGTTAAGGATGTTAGAGTTAAGGATGTTACTGTCATATCTCCGCTCATCCATGTGGCCACACATTTCCTTAAAGGTGATCATGCTGATCACATAAACAAATAGTAAATAAGTGCTGACTGTTCCTAACTGTCCTTCATGTGTTGGAAACAGATTCCAGATGGTCGTTTGGTCACTCTTGCAGGGACTAAGAAGCTGACCAGCCCACAGTCCCCCTCGGTTGTCTTTCTTGCCTTGCTTAAGGAGGGGCAGAATGTGAGCCTTTCTCAGTAACAGGGACTTCTTTAATTACTAGAACCTCTCACAAACAGCAGCCTTGGACCAGACACCTAGGTCCTTTCACCCAGTCCCCTGGATCTGAGTGCATCAATATTCTTTCAGCAGACCACAACCTTCTGCTCTGCTGTTGTCTTTCCCTCTCTTTAACCATTGCAGGTATATATCTAGTTCTGGAAGCAACCTTGCCAGAGCTCGTTGCTTGTCTCCTTCTTGCACTTCAATTCACTAGAGTATATAAGTACCTTTTAATTCCTGAAATACTCTAGTTTAAATATTCCATATGCCATCAGGAAAAACACACTGAACAACACATGGTGCCTTTTGTTCCAAACAGTTCATCCTTTCCTGAGTTATGATTCAATGCTAAGGTCAAAGTGTCTACATTTTCTGAGACTCATAATTTGTTTTCCTCACTTGATAAAAGCAGATTTAGTAGCCTGAAAAACTAAGAATATGGATCAAAATTCTCATTGTGTCAATATAATTTTCCTATAGTTCCTGCTTTTTATTTGAATTTAGGATAAAAACCCCAGAGTATGAAGCATTTGGCCTAGCATCAAAGCAAGCAGAAAAAACAGATAGCATTAATACCCTATGGTCAAGAAACTTTAGCATAATTGCAGAGCTATTTCATGCCGTCATCAATCTCTATGTTGCCTAGAGTGTCACTCAAACATAATTTTAAGGAATTCTCCAAGCTACTGAGAACAACAAATACAAAATAAGATAAGGCCTGTAGACTTGAAAAGTTAATTGCTAAAAAGTTAATCATTAGAAATGAAATCTTCTGGGTTTAGAATAAACATACAGCAATCAAATTAGTCAGTAATTCTTTGATGTTTATGATGCAGCTGCTGACTTACATGCTAAATACCAACTTGTTACTAACCAGAGGTTATATTTGTTTACTTTTTATGTGAATATATTTTTCCCTCTGTAGAAGACAGGGTATATTGGGACCTCAAGCAACCAAATAACAGCACATCATCCAATATGGATACACTAAAGGAATTATCAGTTGTAAGTACACAAACAACTCAGCACCATGCAAACTTTGCAGCAATTTTTGTGCTACATTTTTAGTGTAGTCATTTTCTACTTAGACTAGCTGCTCAAACTGAAGGTTTAGGGTGACACTGGACAGATTATCAATCAAAAGTATTAATAGAAATCAGTGTGTACCCCAAATACAGTAAGATCATCTCAGTCTGGTAGGAAGCAGTTATTTAATGCTAATGCTTCAGACACTTGTGAGGAAAAAACAGACACATGTATGCATTAAATCAAGACTATGGAAAATCAGTAAAAACAAAGGATAAGCACTGGCAGTCGTGCAGTTCAAGGGGAACACAGTGAACAGTGCAACCACTCCGAAAAGGTAACTTCAAAAATGGGGGTGAAGCAAAAGGGTTGTGAGTCTCTCTCTCTCTTCTCCTTCCCACAGACATTCTGTGCAAACCACATACTTCCAAATCACCTGAACAGCTCTATTTTCAGAGGCTCTTCCTTGGAGCCAACGTTATCACTTTCTGGCTTCCATGACTGCTGAAATTATTCAAAGATGCACAGGGCTTACCAAAGGAATTGCTTGATGTTTTCTGCTTTCATTTCAGCCACAAGCTTCTTTCTCACATTGTGATGGACATCTGAGTTGGGGCTTTTTTCAGTCGGTTTTGTGAGCCATCCTGAAACACATTTGAAAAGCTTCCTTCTTAGCAAGATCCCCCAGTCCTCATGTATTTGAGTCCATGTGCCACCCGAAGTACTGAACAGTCTCAGTAAAGCCACGAGGATGCACAGGGCTTAGAGCACCCTCTGCCAGTGTTTGATGGCTTGAACAGAGAAGTGAAGCAGAAAAGTAAAATATACACCATTGACAGAACTGCAAAAACAGTGACATAATTAAAAGAACACACCATACACCTCTGGTAAATTCAATCCCCTTTTTAAGGCAGATTCATCTCTCACTACTTTAAAGCCATAGTTTAAATTCTCAATTAACTGTTTCCAGTGTAAGAATTGAACTCCTGATACTCATAATGAAATTCTTATCTTTAAATTTGTAGATATGTTTAAAAATATGCGTGTAAGCATACTTAAAGCAAAGGCCTAGGACCCAATAGCCACCCTGCCAGCATTGTAACAGTTACAGATCTGGGGGAGGGTGGGGCTTATCTATTTAATAATTAGAGGAATAAAGTTAACTGTGACCCAAGTCAGTTGTTAAAGATTTTCCAGAAGCCATAAATCTTAAAGAATAAAGTAGAACAACTTATTAATTTGTCCTTTTAAAAAAACCCCAGCAAATCCTTTTATTATTATAGCTAGAAAATCCCAAACTGGAAAAGTCATCATAATAAAGCCAAGTATGTATACCATCACATGCAATATATATATGACCTGTTAGACTTAAATGAAATTGTAGTAACACTCTGAACATAGCAGTGATACTGGATCAGACCAAACGTCCATCTTGCCCAGTATCCTGTTTTGGAGCATAGCTGGAAGATGATGTTCTGTGATTCTATGAAATATATAAGAATAGCACAAGCACCAGAAATTTGCAGCTCAGGGACCTCCTAAGTCAAACTAATGGTTTTTTATACTTAATAGACCTCATGGATTTTTATTTCATGCTTTAGCCTTAAGTGTGTGCTACAACACAAGTTTAAAAAGGACAGATGCAGACATAAAATCAGATGCTGCAAGTGACTGCAGAAAAGAGTCTAATGTTCTAGTAAAGTTCATTGTACACGATGAAAGATTCGGCAACTCCGCCCCTGGCTGTCAGTCAAAACTCCTCCTCCTCTATTGCTAAAATAGCATCTGAATAAGAGCATTTAAATAGATCTTCAGTAAAAAACAGGAAATACAAATTTAAAAAGAAAACCCTGAAGTTTTGCAGTCACACAAGTTCCGAACTCTTATATCAATCTCTCCTCTTTGAACGTCTGGCTGCCCGTTGCGGGAAGCTGTCAGTTCACCAGGGTTCGAATTGGGCTGGAGCATGCAGCCAGTATATTCCTCACTCCTAACGACCAAACTGCTTGAGAGAATAACCTCTTAGAAAACAGTGTGATGAGTATTTTACAACATCCCTAACAAGCAGTAAAAGCTCTCCGATGGGGAGTTAATCACATTGCACGTAAATATGCTAGAGGGCAATGGCTGTGGGCTGAGCCCTTGTGTGGCTGTACTCACCTGCAAGAAAGCCCAGCAAGAAACAGCCCAGCAGCCCGGGGCAGCCGAGCCTTGTACATAGGGTAGCTTTGCTTCTGGGCATATGGGCTCCGGTGGCCGGCTGCTTCGCAGACTGAGAGGAGGGCAGGCAAACAGCAGCCTTCCTCCTCCTCGTTTTCCTCCTCCTCTTCCCGCCCTCAGCCGAGGGCTGCCCCTGGCTTCTGTGTTTCTCAGCTCTTGTTCTTCCTATCCTGCCTTAACCACTGAATGATGATACGTTTCTGAGTGCAATAAACCACTTGAGTTTCTCAGTCTCACCTCACAAGACAGCTTGTGTGTAGCTGTTTGTGTATCTCTGCATCAAATATGCATTTAGACTGTGCAGCAAGCAATGCAAAAGTACTATTTTAAAAGCTAATTCCTATTAGTTATCATGATTTTCTGGTTTTGAAAGTTCCTGTTTTAGGTTTAATGACAATCAGTGTTTGTTCCAATGACAGCAGCCAAGAAATGAAATGGAGGAAGGGAAAACTTCTTTTCTCTTTACCAAGGAAGCACTGAATTGCTCCCCTTTGTAATCCATGGTTACATTAATCCTTGGCAAGTGATGAATACTTAGAGCAGCTCAGAATACAATTTAGATTAGCCAATGAGGACACTTTCCGACATCATCCAATTTGCAGCTGGGAAAAGCTGCAAAATTATATCCTGTGTTCTCTAGCTTTTTATATTTTGGATTACAAGGTTGTTAGGATCACGTTTTCCTAGTTTAATTCATCTAAATCCATCAGTGTCTCATAGGGAAGGACACAACTTCTGCTCAGGGAAAAGCCAAGATATTTTCATAGAATCATAGAATCATTGTACTTTGGACAAACTTAGCTCAGCCCTGCACAACACTCCCTGCTGGTGAGCTCCTGCATGGCTATACGGAAGCCAAGACTGACCTTTCTGGAACTGAGGACCTGGCCATCTGCAACCAGTTATCTGGCTAATGACAGGAAAGCTTTTCTGGGAGCCTGGACATTCTCTGAGCTCTTGCCGCTCACTCCCAAAGGAGTCCAAAGTAGATGTATTTTGTGAACGAAAAGGCAGCACTCCAACTATCTCAAAACTTTGTTAAATACACTCAGTTGAGCTGAAAATACTCAGAAACAGCTGGAAAGACTGCCCTAAATAATGTCCTAATTACTTCAGTAAGGCTTTTCAGAGATTAGAGAAGAATCATATCACTCAGGTATACGGCACCAGTCACAGCCATGGTCTTAAGCATACGGCTGGATGTCCATGTTCAATTGATAAGCATGTCCAGTTTCTGTCACTTCCCAACTGCTCATAAGCCATCACAAATTCTGAACAGCAAGGACTTTTCATACCAATATCTCACTTGACATCTACAAACCAGATGGAATTCCACCTACAAAACTTACAAAGAATGAGCATATTGATGTATTATTAACATTTATATAGCACTACAGGTGTAGGACTGGCACATAATAGACAGTAAAGTGACAGGGCTTTTGGAGATTACTATTTAAATTAGACCTCACATGATAATAACATCAGTGGAGGAAGAAGGTAAGAATAGCAACAGTGAGAAAGTATGAAATATATTTATTTCTATGCCAATGGTTTTTTAAAGTGATAAGGGCATCAGCAGTGCTGAGGCTGAACAACAGCTTCTACCACTTAAAATACAGTCCTAGTACTACCAGTTATTAGTTCTGGCATGTTCTTATATTCCATGGATGGACCATTGTTGGAGTATGTTGTATTCCATTTAAATGCAAGTTTAACACACAGTATGCCTTGAATCACACACACTCCACAACAGGACAGAAGCAGGAAATGAGATGAAAAAGCTCATGGGTTGAGGTAAAGGCAGGGACATCACTTGCCAACACCATCACAGGCAAAACAGACTCGAATTAGGGGAAAATAATTTATTACAAATTAAAATAGACTTGGATAGTGAGAAACAAAGACAAAAATTAAAGCATCTTCTCCCACACCCCTAACCTTTTTTCCACCTTAACTTTACTTCACTCCTGACTCCTCTACCATTGAGCTACCACATACACACAGGAGTGCTCCTGGGATCAGGAGAGACACCGTAGGATATCTAAGGTGCAGTAAACACCTACCTTTAAACACTTGAATTATTCTGTACAGAGTGTTCAGTTCCTAACAAATGAATAGCCAGTGTCATTTGTGAGCTTGTGGAGTGTCTGAGACCTCTAGACAAAGCAAACCAGCATAGGGAAGCATTTATACAAGGCCTGCTCTGCTCTGGTGCTTTTGGATCCTGTCTTAGGCTGATGACAATAACTACCATGTTTCTAAGGTTTGGAGCTGGCAGTACTGAGTGTGTGAGAAAGAACAGAGATCTTGGGTGCCCTGGACTGATCATGCGTTGATGGAAATGTTGGAGCAGTTTCTTTGTGTTTCCTGGGCTGTCCGGTGGCTCAGACGCACCAGAGCAGGAGTGGGAGTTTGATATCAATGGCAAAGAAGTTTATTACTCAGAAGAGCCCCAGAGTTACAACATTTCAATCAGAAAGTGAAGTCCCTGTAAAATAATCCTCATTCTGACGAGGCTGAGGTGCTTAAGTTATTGGCTCATCTGGGCTCATCTTTTCTCTCCTAAACACCTTCAGGGCTAGATTCACTGGGAAAGAAAGTGAGAGTCTTCATAAACCAATTCTGCAGATTCATCCTGTCATATTCAAGTCCATGGTCTTCATCCAGCATATAAAATTAATGAACTTTGTGTATGTATTGCTTGAACGGATTACCTAGCAACTGTGCCATCAACTGTCATAAAGCAAGTTGGTCTCTTTCTCATAGATTGCTGTAGTCCTACTCCAGTGTTGAATAAAGCCACATTATGAAGCCTTGTGTTTTCACAAACTGGAATTTTTGTGTTCTTTCCAGCCCTAAATTTTTGAAACATTCTTCTCTCTTAGCTTAATAAGGGATTATTTAGTGCTTCCTCCATGGACCTCTTGGAGCAAGTCCAGAGGAGGCCACAAGGATTCTCTAAGGGCTGGAGATAGATAGGCTGAGAGAGCTGGGTTTGTTCAGCTGGAGAAGAGAAGGCTCCTTAAGGGGAGACCTTAGAGCAGCTTCCAGTACCTAAAGGGTTAGACTTTTAGTAGGCCCTTTTTCAGTAGGACAAGAGGTAATGGTTTTAAACTAAAAGAGGATAGATTCAGATTAGATACAAGGTAGAAATTCTTCACAGAAGCACAGGTTGCCCAGAGACATGATAGATGCTCAATCCCTGGAGACATTTAAGATCTGGATGTGGTTTTGGGCAACCTGATCTAGTTGATGATGTTCCTGCTCACTGCAGGGGGGCTGCACTAGATGATCTTTGGTGATGCCTTTTGACCCAAACTATTGTGTTCTATTCTGTGAATTGGTTTGGTACACTCTGGAGGCCAGGGTAAGGAGTGACATTACTACACAAGAATATTTGTTGTCCCTATTGGATCATACATATTTTATACATAGATTTTTGAACCTGCTTGCTGATACGTTCTAAATTACCCCTGAGCTATCTCATCAGCATAGTTCTTCGGGAGAAAGGAGAAAAACAGCTTATAAAGCCTATATAAATACCATTCACCCAGGCAAAATGTAAGTTTTGACTTGGTAACAGTGTTTATAGATGTTGCTAGTTTCCCTCTTGGAAGGGGAAACAGGGTGTGACAATCCAGATGCTTCCTAAAGAATGTGGAATAGAGCAGAGAGCAGCTAGAACTGTTTTCCAAAAGAAGGGAAGGAGAATAAATCTACCTCCTCTATACCAACTTCCACATTCCTCAGTGCCTGGGCTGGAAAATGGGGTCCTCTTTTACATTTTTTTCTTTTCTCCCTTTTTTTTTTCTGTACCCCCTTTATTTCTGCCCTTTGCTGGTTCTAACAGTTCCAAGATACGCAGCATAAGGAATGCTGTATCTATCCTGCATGTTCACTGTTTCCTGAGTACTGGGACATGGCCACATTACTAAATCACAAAGCCAAAGTTGTAGTATCATGTCTGACAAATGCTCCTCGGAATAACTGGAGCCAGAGAAAAATGAGCCTGACACGGCGAGATCTGAACTACAGTGTGCCTGGAATGCAGATCATCTGTGAGGAGGTGGAAGAAGCTGCTCCAAGAACAAACCTCATCTCACTCTTAGCTGTTACTGAGCATCTCACTTAGCAGCCATGGAAAGAGCTCAGAGCTGTTAAGACAATCAGTCTCCCATAAGACTTACATCCCTTTGAGTTGCTTTCTGGTCAAATCAAAACCACTTCCATTGGTCACCTTATTCTTTTACATGGGGCTTTTTCTGATAGAACTAATATATTACCAGTATAAGATACTTGCAAGACTGCTTCTCTGATAATAGGTTTTCATTCAATATTGAAAATGCCCACTTTAGTCCAAGTTTAACCAAAGTTAAGACTTGAGGCTGATGATAAAACCAAACCTCAGTCACAAAAACTATGCAAAAAAAGCCCTGTGATAAGTTTACTAAGAAAAGGGAGTTCTTTTCCTGGACCAGGTGACAAAACTGCAAAACAAGGTCCAAAACACAAACCCCTGAACACAGAGTACTCCTTCAAATTAATATCACTTTTAAAACTAGCAAGAAGACAGTTACATAGGCCTCATTGAGCTCAAGAGTGGTGAGAAATGCTCATTTTGAGAGTGAAACAAGAGTGAAGTTCAGCTGAAACTAGCAGAACTTGCAGATAGCTACATATATTTTACTTAGTTAAAATATATATACATATGGTACACTAGAAAAGCTCCAAAAATGGCCAGGATGCATATGCTCAATTGAAAACTAGCATGCATTTCTATGTTGAATGAGCACAATTAACGCTACACAGCCAATTAGCAATACAAACAACAGTACACAAAAATACATAATACACACAACAAATGCCAGGGATTGTACATTGTAGGTTGTAGCTGCTCAACAACTGGGTCTCAAAGGTTAGTATCTGCTGCAAGAAAAATATGCCACTGTTGTGCTGCTTGAGCTACTGTTTGACTAAAGGTTGAACTTTAAAGGCTTGAGACATCAGAGGGGTCTGGTTTGTGGAAAAAGTAGCTCTTGCAGGAAAAATGGCACCTGAGGAATTCTCAACCACAGTTTCAAATCAGTGGTTTCCTTCCGACTCTGCCAGTTGCACAGTCCCTCAGAACTCATGGCCTCTGCAGCTGACTACCAGAGTAAAAGGTTGGTAGATTTTGATGCTTTGAGCTGGAGTCTCTGTTATCTTGACCTTCAGGAGTCTATTATCAGATTCCAGCTAAAAGAAAGTTTACACTGCTGGCAGCTGACAAGTTCAGCTCGCTAACTCTGACCCTTTCTTCTACAGGAGGAATATACCCAGTGAGGCAGAGAGTAAAGGGCTGTGCACTGAACATAAACCAAATGATACCTTCCAGCATACCCAAGAAGTTTCTCAAGAAGACAGAGCCAGCCTTTTCAGTGGTGCATGACAGGAGCATGAGAAACAACAATAAAATGAAGTAACAAAAAGGTTCTGTCTGGATATACGGAAAAGCTTTTCCATCACAACAGCAGTGAAGCACTAGAACATGTTGCAGAGAGGTTATGCGGTCTCCATCCTTGGAGATTTTCAAGACTGTACTTGATGAAACTCTCTGCAGCCTGTTCTGACCTTGGAGCTCACCCTACTTTGAGAAGGAGTTTAGACTAGAGACCTCCTGAATTCTCTTCCAACCCTGTGATCCTATAATTGTGTGATATGCTTCCATTCATTACAATCCCTGTCACAGGGAGCTGCTGTCCATCAAGTGAAAGAATACAATTTACTCTGACTCCAGCTGTGAGGGCTGGCTGCTCTGCTCCATCACGCTATTGTCTGTAGTCCAGCAGCACATTTGAAACTGCTCATATAAAGAGAGATGAGCACATCTCAAAGGTCTTAGACTACCAGTGATTGCTCTGTGGCAGCTAAACCAACACTTGTAAGATCTGTGCTGACAGCATCTTAATTCAGAAATTATACCACCAGGTTGTAGAATCACAGGATAGTTTGTGTTGGAAGGGACCTTAAAGCTCACCCAGTTCCAACCCCTTGCCACAGACAGGGACATCTTCCAGTAGACCAGGTTGCTCAAAGCCCTGTCCAACCTGGCCTCAAACACTGCCAGGGATGGGGCAGCCACAGCTTCTCTGGGCAACCTGTGCCAGGGCCTCACTATCTCACACTGAAGAATCTCTTCCTGATATCCAATCTTAAAAGCTTAAAGCCATTCCCCCTTGTCCTACCAATACATGCCCTTGTAAAAAGCCCCTCTCCAGCTTTCTTGTAGCCCCTTTAGGTACTGGAAGCTGTTCTAAGGTCTCCCCGGAGACTTCTCTTCTCCAGGCTGAACAAGCTGAGCTCTATCAGCTTGTCTTCATAGAAGAGGTGCTCCAGCCCTTGGAACATCTTCATGGCCTCCTCTGGACACGTCAACAGACTATCCTGTCAAAGTAACATCTACATTGCTGATTTCACAAAAGCAAGGATTCATTCTAATACAAGCATAGTTTCTACCTTTTCCACATATGGGTATGCTTTAATTTCATTTGATTTAGACTCTTAATGCATAGAATGGTCATTGTATGGAGTTATTTGGCAAATTTTGACAGGATCCAATTTGAGATCACATACTCAGAAGTACTTTCTTCAAACAATACTGTTCCTTTTTCATTCCCCCTCTAGATTCTTTAATGTAATTGATCAAATTGCAAAGGATGCTCTCAACAATGCCACAACGCCTGCTAGTTTCCTCCCTCTGCTTACTAAATACTTCAAATGCTCTTGTCTTATAATTATCTACTGCTGTATATAAATCAATGACTCGGTGAGTTTGCCTGCAGTAACTGTAAAAGCCATATGAGCGTTTGCAAAGATCTGTCTGGAATTAGGATCCTAGCTTTTCCAAACACTAATTACAGCATATTTAGAAAATAAAAGTACTTAAAGTCTATTATAGTAAACAATTCTGCTAATGGCAATCTCTAGCTGAAGACATCTGTAGTTACATGAACAACTGGCTCATGTTAGATGATCAATACACTTTAAGTACAACATAGCTGATTTTAGGTTTTGTTCCTGTTAACAACTGACTTTTTTTTTTTACTTAATTCAGTAGTCTTTGTTGACCAGTTACTGTGGAATAATATCAAAGCTTGAGAGCCAAAACAGCTAATTTGGTCAACAGCACTTAGCAGTGTTTAGAGTAGATTTCAGCTTACTGCAGAGGTCTAGGGAAAAAACAATCAAGTTTTTATATTCTACTTCACTGAAGAAGAATTGGCACACAAACCTTGACTGCTTGTATAGAAGAGGATTTCACACTCAGAGCTTGAGTTTGGTAACAGCTATGCTCGTGAGATACCCTGGCCAATCTAAGAAAACATACAGATGCTTAAAAAGTAGTTATTCCTGTATCTGGCCTCTCATTGTCTGCCTTTCCTTAGCAAATAGCTTCATAGCACACACCTCCTTGTTCATGTGGCTGCTTCAGACAGTTTTTTGAGCTCTAAGAACCAAGCAAATGGAAATGTTTCTCAGTGCAGCTACAAATTTTGCCAGAACATATAAACAGACAGTGCTTTTAACACATATTATTTGTTTAACCATTGTTTTCCACTTGTCTTGTAGGAAGTAGATGTCTGTGCTAAGAGAAAAAGTTCCTGAAGCAACTTTTCTTAAGGTCATTTAGGGAAAGCTTACAGGTCAGTTAGTGAAAGACCTCCACAATTTTGGAGTCTGGTGCTTCAGTTCATCCTCCTTAGCAGCAGAAAAACATTCTTTTTGTATCCAACTAGTCAACAGAAGCTGCTTATTGCTGCCCCCCTCTGCATGGTGGGTTTGTGTTGTCACTCCCTTGATTGCTGAAGACAAACTCCTCAAGGTTAACCTAACTGATGATCTAAACTAATGTGGCTAATTTGGCAGAGGTGGATTATAGACCATCGTAATGAATTCTCCATTGGCAAAAGGAACAGTGGAGCAGCCAGCAGCAATAAAACAGTTAGAGACAGCAGTATCTCCCATCAGCACAAAATAGGTTTGGGAGAAGACATCTCCCTGGTTTTACTCCAATCACTTTCATAAAACTGGGAAAATAACTGGGCAATAACTTTGGGTGTAAGAGCATTTCCCATTATCTGGCAAACTGGATTATTTCATGAGAAAGACCAACATTTAAGTAAAATAATCATTTAATTATAGTAACTTGCCTGAAGCGTTTTAACGTGAAGAGTTGAAATACTTATGAATGATGTCTTAAGGAAAAGAAAAAGAAATCTACCATTACACTGAAAACCATCAGATCATGAGACAGTCTTCTAAGACATGTTGGAGGCCTCAGCTAAAACGGCAGATCAAATCACACACAGTATTTCTGTCCTAGAGGTTAGTAGTCCTCTGGTGGCAGAGCATCAGATGAAAGGATCTGATTTTCTGAGACTTCTCAGTCTGATCACAGTTGTCTCACTGTAGTCTTTTGAGCTGTCTGTCATAAAAGGAAGCTGCACACCAATATCAGAAATAGAGACTCTACAAAAAGGGTAATAATTTGGTATCATTCGAAACTAAGGACTGAGGATTTTTTTTTTTCTCCTAATTTTCTTCATATTAAAAATACCCTGATATGGACAAGGCATAGCGGGGGTAATTTTGGATGAAAGAATAAAAGTAGGTCTTCATCTCAAAAGACATGTTTTGGGAGATGACTATACATCTGACAAGATGGATTACCTTGCTTTTACTCCAGTAACTAGAAGGCTTCTTGCTTAATTTTATTTGCAAACAGCTGTGAGAGCATGTGAAGAGAAGAACGTCATCGATGAGTATTCTGTGCTGGCTGCCCAAAACTTGTTATAATCATTATATATCCCGCATATGGTATGTGACAGTTTCCCCATCTTCATACATGAATCTTTGTGTAAAGGAGGCACTCAGAGGGCAATGCTGGAGTACAGTTATGTAACCCCAAGGCAAATAATAAAAAACATACAAAACTAGACAATGATAGAAACATGAAATGACTTCTGGCTTCCTGATGCACTATGAAGGCTGCTAGAGTAATCAAGCTAGCAAAATTCAAAGCTCTGAAAATAAATCCAGTGGTTAGCAATTCTGAAAATATGAAGCTGAGAGAAAGCGTGACAATTTTTCACTCTCACTTCAGGAAATATCTAAAGCCTGAGCTCTCTGAATGGAGTACATTACCTTATTGGCATTGCTAAATGCTTTCCACTTGGGTATATTATTTGCAAAGAACAAGATCTTTTTGGATTTTGTGTTCTTTGTAATAATCCTCCCAGTGTTTTTAAATGCTCTGTTTTTAAGGCTTCTGCAGAGTCACATGTAGTCCTCATTGATGATTATATTGTTGATATTTATCCTACTTCTTTCAGTGTTTCTGCTGCTGCCTGCACAGTGAAGGCTGCAATGGAAATCTGCCTCTTTACTTCTTCCCAGGCCTCACGCTGATCCACTTTGCTTTCAATATCAAACATGGCATCATAGATTCCTGGGAATGATTCTCCTGCATACTTGTTATGGCTGCTTGGAGCAAAGATAATATGTCTGTAGAGAAATTGGGGAAAAAAAGAACAATATTCTGCATTAGGAAATTTATTTTTTTATCCTGTTTCATTTTCCTGGATAAAACTCATCTGTTTCTATATCATCTGTTAAATTCTCATCACTGAAGATGTAAATAAATAAAATTATTGCAACAACAGTACCTATAATCTACAAAGCAAGAAAATAACATAAGCTATGTTATTCCATGTGAATTCTTAAAACTTTATAGCTAAGATGACTGAAGATAAAGTTGACCAAAGTATTTCCTTGTTCCTCATTTTAGATGAAAGATAAAAAAACGCCAGCTTCTTTTTCTCACAGATATACACAATCTCCAACATAAACAGGCACGCTTTGAAGCAGTTAAGTCGATGCTTTAACAAGAGACTGTTCTTAACCAATTTTTAGTCACAAGCTATGAGAGATTACATTAATACTGTAGATATTGAGAGAACTGTAGATCTTAAGCTATCCTTCAACAGTTTTCAGTGGAAAGATTACTGTTCTGAATTATGCAGAAGGATCGAAAAGCTAGACTTGACTATTCTGCCTCTCAAACAGGATTTACTTCTTGAATTGGATGAGAGGACTACTGAATTCAATGCTGTTGAAGTACAGCCCTCTTCACTGTATTTGCTAGCATGACTGTTGTGTTATAATCAATCAAACTGTAGATACTTCAATTATACCTTATTTCACTTTCAAATAATATTAACTTCCTAAGATCATTTACCACTGAAATTACTTGAACTGAGTTGAGGGCCAAACTTTTCAGTCTGTTTAGAAGCCCAATGAAATCAATGGAAGTGGGTTTAAGGATCTGAATAGGCTTCCAACAAGACCTGTCCTCCTTCTGTATAGTGTATCTTCCTGAAGTTTTCCCTAATGTTGTTCTCCCTTTCCAATATTATTTATCCTGTTTACTTTTACCATGTTAAATAGAATCATTACAACTCCATTTAGAGACCTGTAAATCTTAAAGGAATTCTCATAGGGTACTCCAGGCAGAAAGTGAAAAACAAGCCTTTCTTACCTATAGAAGGGCCTGCCAGGTAATCCAAGAGGATCGATGAAAGCCCTTTCTAGAAACATGAGCTGATCATTTAGTGATCTGACAGCAAGTGGGCTAAAAAGAAAACAGGAGTCTGTTAGCTACAGGGTGCTTGGCCCTTGCCCCAGTATACACAGCTCTGGATTTATGAAGGACACTAGATCCAAAATGTGGAACTTCAAGCATAGCCCACTTAAGACAGCCCATGTCAGCTAACCTGCACAACAGAACTATGCTGACCTGTACTATGAGACAGTCTGCCTCATAACCTGGCAGTGTCTTAAAGGTGTTTTTAAAGGCCAAGGAATAGTGTCGAAGATGACAGAGATTTTCAGGTATTTTTTTCATGTTGCATCTATTCCTTTATTTTCTTTTCATTAGGATGCGTAGGCATACCATTTTCTTCTGTACAACAGTTTTCTGAAGACCCTATTTTCCACAAAGCCAGACAGCTGCAAATTACTTCAATAAAATCACATTTCTTTTTATGTAAAACCACAACATCTGAGAAACAAGAACCTTGTCATGTTAGAATCATCTTTTGAGCCATCCAAGAATTGTGTTTTTCTGATGATAGATTTTTAATTCCCTAGAGCAGAGACCATCTGTGTCTGTGTGCTCTGAATAGCCCTGAGCATAATACTGATGCTTAACAAATAAAAGAATTGTGAAGATTATACTCGATTTGTGTGGGTTTGGTAATTTACATCCAAAGTAATTTATTGTAGAGCTTCAAAGGCATACACTGATTAAAAAAAAAGGTAAAATTTATATCACAGTAAGTTAGAGTAACTCTACTACTGTCAATGAAATTGTTTCAAGTTTACATCGACATAAACAGAAACTGAAACTTGTTGGTTGAATTAAAGCTTAGATTTAGGCCATCCACCAATGAAACCTTTTTGAAAATGTCACACACATTGTGACAAAATCTTCGGACATGTGTCTGCTTAGAGGGAGGGACACACCTGAGCTGGCTCTGCTTATGCTAACCAGCATTCTAGTCATGTCCATGAATCATCCTGCACTGCTCCTCAACTCAAACCTGTCAAGAATTGACACTAATTAGCTTGGATGCTTTTTAAAACTAACATGGGTGGACTCTCAAGCTCTGCAGTGTCTCTGATGTCCACTAATTCAACATTTCTATACTTTGCTTCCTAGAGTAACCACATCCTTAAATACAAGAGTCCATAAGGACTTAAAAAGAAACAAATGACTGACAGTTATTTGTCACCAAGGTTACTCAAGGGACTAAATGCAAGTGAAGACTGTGCCCTCTGAGCCCAGAGCACTATGTGGAGTATCTGACTGGAAGGAAAAAAAAAAGAATTAAACTTACTTATTGCTATCTATTTGTTGAAGTCTCTCATGAAAGCTAGCAGCAACTTCTGTAAAATTCTTCACAGCTGAAAAGAGAGCATCTGGAAGGAGCAGGAAGGAAGTATTTTACTTTAAATACTGAAGGCATCATGAAACAAATCAAATTTGTTTGTTAAAAATGATGTAATTCTGTGTGAAAAATTGCCTTGGAGACAACAGAAATCAGTATTTCTGTGAATGTTGTCTATTACTTGAACACCGTACAGAAATGTCAAAACCTGTAACATGACTTCCAGAACCAGACTGTTCAGGTAGGCCCAGAATCCTATAAACCCCAACAACCTGTGTTTTACTGGTATGTCGTCCACACATACTGAGTTTTGAGACAGACTGAGAGTATATGTGTATGTATGTGTGTGTGCACATGTTCTTGATATTGGTCATTAGCAGCCAAGTCCTAAACTGAATACTATATAACGTTGCCAATAAAATAAAGGCTTCTCAGGCAGAAGGCATCTTGTGAATCCCTGTAATATTAAATCAAATTTCACATGCCAGCACAAGATCCCTGGTGTGGCATAGAGATGAACCATTCCTGCCTGACTAAGCCTCGAGGCAAACTTCTCATGGTGCTTACACTTGCCATCATATGTCTACAAACTGAAACAACACAAGTTCTGACTGGATATAACCAGAATCTCTTTACCATAAGGACAGTCAAGCATTGTGGTTCAGCA